AGTAAGTAAGTAAGTAAGTAAGTTTGGCAACTCCCTAGTAATTAAACCTTAATTTTAAAAAGTGGGAAAATAGTAATAGCCACCCTGAAACAAGACTTCTAAATCAAAGAATGAAGTGGAAATGAGGGCAAAAATGAATAAAATAACAAATCTGTCCGGCCAGTGCCTTGGCACACATCTCATGGCCTCTTGAAGTATTGCCAGCCAACTGTACATACTAAGGACCACTCAGCTACAACCAAATAGTGCTTATTAGATCACCAACCACAGAATTAACATCTTTCCCAAGATGTCCCTTTCTCTCCCATTCTTTCAGGGCAGCAGGGGGAAGACTTTCAATTTAAACAGCAATATCCTCTCTGTGAAATGCTGTTGAACTCTGAAGCATACAGAAACCAAGAAATTCCTACCTAGTAGAGTGCAAAGAGTTCTTTGATTTTTCTGTTCAGTAAGACTGAGGAAATTAATCTTTTTTAGAGATGGGCTCAAACTGCACAGCTGATCTATGGTTCTGTGCCCTGCTGCTCTGGAGGACACCCACTCAATTGAACTTATAGAGATGCTGACTTCATAAATCTCCACTGATTCAATTAATATACTGTATCCTAGTACAGTGATTCCCAACCTTGGGTAACCCACATGTTCTTGGACTGTAACTCCCCAAAACCCCAGCCAGCATAGCTGGTGGTGAAGCCTTCTGGGAATTGCAATTCAAGAACACCTGGGTTATTCAAGGTTGGGAACCACTGTTCTGCAATTTACTACGCTAAGCAATAGGATTTTGGCCATTATGAGATTTCAAGGATTAAAATCCATTTCACTAGGTACATGAAGTGAAATATTTAGCCACATGTTTATATACAAATATATAGTGAAGGGGTGGGGATCCAGTGAAGGTAAACGCAGGCATCAAAAATGAGATTTCAACATGACAACATCACTGATAAACACCAGGAAATAGCTTTGAGAATGTACATTACATACACATAGTGACATACCTAAAGTAGTTAAGTGTCTGGCCCAGGCTCTTTTTGAGATGCAAAAATGTAGAATTGTGGGAGTAGCCTGTATTTTCCTAATTAACTTCTGATTGCGTGGCCAGAACCTATATTTTTGTCTACATACAAGATTATAAAGAAAAACTGGTTACTAATATATACAGTGAGACAAAAATCCTTGGAGTTTAAGGCCTTAGCTGCATGCTGGATCTTGTGGATGAAATTTACCTGCCTTGTTTTCCTATCTAATCTCCTTTGTTATTTCTTTTTTCTAAAACAATTTCATATCAATTACTGAGTGACCTGGAAAGCTGAAGCATTCTGAAACTGGCTTTTGTGTGTTGTGTTTCTGATGTAAGATTTCTGTCCATTTATTCTCTTAGGTAAAGACTGTCCTTTTTTCAGGGTCTACGACATTCTAATGTATGATTGTACTGTATTAAAGCATGATGCAAAAACGGAATTTCTTGCTTGTAGGATGCAAAGTTGATATGGGGGGAAAAAACCTACATTTTTCTCCCTAGAAAAGGCAAGTTAAGAAATTTAAACAGCCAAACCGGGGGTGAGGGGGTGGGAGAGAACACATTAGTGGCCTGAAGTAGAAGTGATGGTCAAATCATGTTATGGTCATAATTCCTGCTGCTGACCATAGTCTGGCTTTAAAAAAAAAAGCATTTTCAAAAAGTTTTTCTTTACTTCTCGTCTCCTCCCCTATTTTCCAGGCCACTTTCAGGTGCAACCACAAGTTAACTAGTACTCTTCCTCCCTGTCTCTTCTCACAACGTCTGTCTTCTTTTGTCCTATCAAATGTCTTCATCTGTTTTCTTTTATCTTCTCCAATCTCTTCCTTTCTCTCAGACTCCACTCCAAATTGGCTGCCAGTTCCTTGTTCTCCTGCAGCTCTACTCTCTTGTGGTTGTGCATGTCCACTGCACCAGCAGGGAGGGTGAAGTGTCCCAGTGTGACCACACATTGACTATTATTATGACTGATTGCCACCCATGACAGATCCATCTCCATTGCCCCACCACAACTGACAATACAGCAGGGGCGGGCACCCTCCCGAGATTCAAGGGTGGCAGATACTCACCCTGGGAATTGGAGGACTGCACTAGCTGCTACTCCCTGCCCTTTCTCAAAATATCTTGTTATTAAAACAGGCAAACAAGCAAGCAAACTTATGCTCTTCAGTGGCCAAATTTTGAAAACTCCAAAAAAGCGTGGGGAGCACGGGTGATGAAGAGGACCAAACACGACAACAGTGCTTCCTATGTCTCCTGGAAGGCACAAATGGGCTGTTTGTGTGTTTATCTGTGTTTTGTTTTAGGGCTAGGGCATCATGCTAGGGCATCTGGGCTCCTGGTACTACAGGCCATTGCCCTATAACTCAAAGGGAGGACAGACATCACCAAGAAGGACAACAGCATTTACTTTTTTTTGCAGCCACATTGCCCTGTTGGGGGCATCTGGGCCCCTGGTACTACAGGCCATTGCCCGATAACTCAAAGGGAGGACAAACATCACCAAGAAGGATAACAGCATTTGCCTTTTTTGCAGCCACATTGCCCTGTTGGCTCATATTCAGCTTGTGATCTACAACAATTCCAAGATCCTTCTCACATGCTCTATTACTAAACTAAGTATCTCCTATCTTGTAACTGTGCATTTGGTCCTGCCCCCCTCGGTGTAGAACTTCATACTCATCCCTGTTCCATTTCATTCTGTTGTTTTTAGTCCAGTGTTCGATCCTCAAGATCTTCTTTTCACTTTTTGTTTCTCTTCTATGCATTAGCTATGCCACTCAATTTTGTGTAATCTGCAAATCTGATAAGCATTCCCTGCACTCTCTCATCCGAGTCATTAATAAAAATGCTGCAGAGCACCGAGCCCAGGACTGAACTTGCTACCTCCTCCCAGGTTGAGAAGGAGCCATTGGTAACCACTCTCTGAGTGCCATTCTGTAATCACTTGTGTATCCACCTGATAGTTTTTCCTATCCAGCCCATACCTAGTCAGTGTGCTAATCAGAATATCATGGGACACTCTGTTAAAAGCTTTGCTGAAGTCAAGATATATTATGTCCACTGCATTCTCACCCTCTATCAGAGAGATTACCTGATCAAAAATGAGATAAGGTCAGTCTAGCAGGATTTGATCTTGACATATTCATACTGACGTCTGCTTATTACTGTATCGTTTTCAAAGTGCTTACAGAGTGCACTTTTTAATTTGCTCCAAAATTTTCTCTGGGATTGATGTCAGGTTGACTGGTCTGTAGTTCCTAGTGCCCTCCTTTTTGCCCTCCTCAGTGGTGCCTCTCTTTGGTTCTTCAGCAGCTTATGAAGCTGCAGTTTGAGCCTTTGGATATGACAGACCTCTGGCTTTTGACATTCATGATGGTCTTCCTGGTGACTATAACCTCTGCACAGAGCCCTGATGAGTTATGCATGTTGTGCCATGGCCCCCATTCCTATTGTTCTATAGGGATAAGGTTGTACTTCTTGACTTGTTGTTCTTACTGAAAGTGGTCTCAAACTTCCATGTCATCCACCCACTGGTCCTGCCCATCTTTTTGATGCCTCTGTTGGATTTGGAAAGAGACCTGCACTTTTTAGATATGTGTCAGGCTTTGGCTTTTTACACTTGAAAGGCTGGACAACTCAGTCAGACCATCAAACTTTGTCAGCTACCAGGACCGTAAACAGGGTCAGCCTGTTTCAGCTGTCTAAATAATTTGCAGCTACCTTTACCTTGTAAATTAGCAGATAAGTCATTTCTTGACTCTCTCCATTCCACGAGGGTGACAGCAACTTCTATTGCATTTCTGAGACATGTTCTTCTGCTGGATATCAGCCAAGCTGTCATGTGGTCACAACTGCTGACATCCATGAAGCACTAGCAGCTAGATGAGTGCTTTCTTTGGGAGAGCTGCCGTGTTCTTGTAAGGGTGATTCCCCTCTGACTGGTGATTGAGCTTGCTAATCAGCTAATGTGTTATTCAAAGATACATCAACAAAGGACAGGTTACTTACCTGTAACTGTAGTTCTTCACATGATCATCTGTAATTGTGCTCAAAATGTGACAGCTTCAGTTTCATAATTTTTGTTTCTAAGGAAAATTCAGGCTTGATTTGCCATAGGACCCACTTGCTTATCTTTCTAGTATTGTCAAGATTTCCTAAGGTGCTACATTTCAAACAAATCAACTTTTTTCCTGTCAGTTTTCTTCATTGCCCAGCTTTCATATCCATGCATGGTAATCAGGAATCCACCAGTGTGGACCATCTTGGCTTGCTTTCCAGTGACACGTCCTTACACTCAATGACCTTTTCGACTCCCTTCATTGCTGCCCTCCCAAGTAACTGTTCCAAGATCTGTCTCTGGAGAACCACAACCAGATAAGCAATACTGAAATGTGTGATTAGCCAGAGCTGGCATAAAACAGCTTGCAAGGACAAAGATGGGAACCTGAGACACACACACACCACCAATTGTTTTTTTTTTAAAACACTTTCCCCCATAAATTGTAGCCAGTAAGGTCCATGGCCAGGACTAGTGGAAAGAGAAACATCTGGAGGGTTACTAGCTGGTCGCCTTTCTTCAAATAGTAATGCATTTTCTTTTTGTGGCTGGTGCTGCTTCCACTCATTCCAGCAGATTAACCGAAGCTGTTTCTCCAATCTTTAGGAATGGAGCGCGCTTTCCCATTCTGGCTAGGAAGTAAATGCATGATAACGGGACGTGCATGCTTTCCTTAAAAGAAAGAAAAGAAAAGACATTTCATTTTACATCGCTGCGGACTCCCCACATCGTGGCCATGAACCTCTACCAGACCTGAGCTTTGCAAGCAGCCACTGGTGAAAAGAAGACGAAAGCTGAGTCACCAGATCCCGTCGGGGAAGGAAAAGTTCTAGCTGGGCAAAGAGCAACGGGCAACGCGCTCGGCAGCCGTTTGTCCCTCGGCAGCACCCTTACGAGAGGGAACCCTATGGGAGAGCAATGGGAGAGGCGGCGGTGGCGGAGGCGGCAGCGTTGTTTTGGTGAGGGCGAGCCGAGAGGGGAGGGGAGGGGCTGCTGGCGCCGGGAGGCGCGGTTCCGGACCGGAGAGTAAGGCCTAGCAGGTGGAGCCGTGACGAGGTGGCCCGCCGGCGCCTGAGGATGTGAGCCGGGAGGACCCGTCCACCCTCCGGAAGCAAGCAGGCAGGCAGGCAGGCGGGCAGGGAAGAGGACACTTCTTCGGCGGACGAGATGCACCATGGCCTCGGTGAAGGTGGCCGTCAGAGTCCGGCCCATCAACCGCAGGTGAGGGAGGGGAGGAGGCAGGGAAGTTTGCCTCACATTTCCACCAACCCGCACACCGCCTGGAGGGGGCGGCGGTCGGTCTTCCCTGGCCCCCCATTCGCGCCCGTCCGTCCTTCCGCCGCCTCAGGCACCACACGCAGGTGCAACACCTGTGCCTTCCTTCCTTCCTTCCCCTTTGCTGCCTGGGCGGACGCTGGAGAAGCCGCCAGGCCATCCTTGCGGGTGTTGAGCCGGCTGGCGAGCAGGCGCCAAGGAGGCTTCTGCACTTTTTAACAGTTGTGTGTGTGGAGGGAGCCGGGGGAAGGGCAGCTACAATTCAGCCAGGTGTGTGTGTGAGTGCCAACATTGCCTCCTCCTCCAAACGACGAAGGAGCAGGAAATTTATCCCTCCTCCCCTTTTTTTTATTGGAAAGCGGAGGGTCATGTGTTCACCTTAAGTTAGGAACCTGAAAAACTAGAACACAAAAGTTGTGGGACACTGCCAGATATGATCCAGTATTAACATTTTCCCGTCTTCATGCAAAAAACTTTTTTTTCTACTCGTCAGGAAAATCTACCTGTTAAAGAACTACATGTGCAAAAAGAAAACGTCAGTTGCACATGCCAGGTGTAAAATTTCATCTTGCTAGTTTTGTGACGCCTGCTTTTAATGCACCTTGCACTTTCATGTAAAGTGGATACCAAAGATGGATTGATCGATTGATTGCTCAGTGGTGTTGCTTGTAAACTCACAAAAATGTGATGCCCACTGTATGAAGAACTGGTCGCCAGTGGGATCCATACACCTAGGGAATTGAGTTCCGTCACACCTTCATAAACAGTCCATTAGCAGAGAATCTTATTTATTTACATTTGGAGAGGAAACTGCAGTTACTCCAGGTTTACATGCCACTGCTCACGTAAAAGCTGTGTCCATCTAGCCAGCCAAAACAAGTTCTTTTTCCAGTCTCCTGTTTGACTTTATACAGCCCCCCTTGTAGAAGAGGAGGAAATAAATTGGCTTTCCCCTAAAAACAACAAAGCTCTGATTGTGAGGAGTGAGATTTCCTCCTTGCTACAAATGTGGAGGGGGAAATTAAGCATACTCCATTCATAATTTTTTCCCTAAAACAGCCTTTCTGAAGCCTGTATGCTCTTATGTTCCTTTGGGAACACAGATGGAAAGGAGGCAGCCTCCACTGGCTACCTTTGGAATGGAGCTCTCTGTTTTAAGCAGGATTTCTAAAGACTATGCCAGCTGGCTGCATTTACCACCTCTTTTTCTTTCTCAGAAGAAGAAGTAGGACAATGTGTGCCCTAACAGTGGTTGTGTGTTGTGCTCAGGCAAATACACTAGTGCTAGCTTCTTCTTTGCAGACAGAAAGAGATCAGGGAAAGCTAGTTGCTTGTGATTTCTAGGTATCCTCATATGGAGACTTTTATAGATCTGCTTTCTCCAAACCCCCTTCCTGTGTAACTAGAACCATTCATTCTGAGAGAAAGGGGGCAGGCACAATTAGCACTTCTGGATCCCCATGTCTTGTCTGGGTTGCAGAAGAGTTCTAGCTTTTTACCTGTCGTATGGATGTTGTTGCAAGTGAATCTTAGGGAAAGCTCAGCTGTATGGTGGGCTCACATAAAACCTCTTGCCTGATTGCAAGGGTTAATCACTCTTCTGTAGTTGGATTAAAAACAGGGTGGATTTGGGTTCCCCTTATGCTTCTCTTGCAAATTTTCTTCCTCCCTGTCTGCTCAGCTCATGTTTTTAATCTCTGCTGTCCCATGTTTCATGTAAATGGTATGACTTAACCATGCTAATTAATATGGGCTACATATGACTTCCTGGATTTCATTTGAGGAGTCTTTATATTAGAGAATTTTCAGGCTTTCAAAGTATTTCAGAAATTCTAGTTGCCCAAACACAGTGACATTTATGCAAATATATTGGGATAATGTAATTATCATCATCATCATCTTAGAATTGCTGAACTGGAAGGAACATTATGGATCATTGAGTCCAGCCAGGCATAGAGGGGAATTGGACTCCCAACCAGATACTCCCTACCACAGCCAGATACTTAAACCACTAAGATATAGTTGTTCATAATAGTACTAGTACATGGCACTTTAGAGTATTCTGAATACTTAAAAAAAAGTATTTATTTCTGACCTATCTATATTTCCCACCTGGCTAAATCCATTGAGAATTATCAACTGTTTCACTTGTTCTCTTCTTTTAGAAATGGATCTGGGTTAACTTAAATGACAGTTTCCTGTTATTCATGAAATAAGTAATTGTGTGTAAACTTCAGATTTATATTTAGGATCTTAATTCTCTGTGTGTGTGTGTGTGTGTGTTTGTTTATTTATTTTTTAACAACTAGGGATAAGGTAAGGGATACAGAAGGTAGAAGGGGATGTGGGGGGGAAAGTGGGGAGTAGGAGAACACGAAATATATAATCATCCATCTGTTCATGTTGCGATATCAAGTTGACTTTCTGCCTTTCTACAGTTTAATTGCCCTCCAGGTTTCAACTTACAGTTACATCTTAGTTTAAATCTATGTTACTCAAGCACTATCTGAGGACTCAAGCCATTTGTATAATAAATCGCATTGTTCAGTTGCCTTTTGTATTGGATAGTCTTTCAATACTTCTGATAGAATATCCATTTCTGCCGCTTCCCATATCTTCTCAATGAGTTCGTTTCGATATCACTAAAACCGAAGATCTTAATTTCTCACATAACTTCAAATGTGGAATGTAATGGGAAGCTGATTTTTAAGATGCCCAGGATTAAAGGAAGCAAACGGCAGGGGAAGCTTGCAGTCCAAATTAGTTCCTAGCAGGTAAATTATAGTTTAGCAAGCAGGAAAATATCTAAAGTGGGCCAGTATCTTGCTATGTCAAAACTACATTATTAGGAAGGACTGAACAACTTGCTGCCTTCCAAATGTTGTTATACTATGGTTTCCACTTGCCCTAGTCAGAATAGCTAGTGGTGAGAGATATGGGAGTTGCAGCCTGACACATGTCCCACCCCTCCTGAGAAGCAAAAGAATTGTTCTTATATTGCAACTGGGAAATAAATCTAAAAAAATTACTTGCCTAAGTAGTCTGGTGATCTCAGGGCAGAGGTGAGATTTGAACCAAAGATATGGCACTGCTCAGTTTTCAAGTTAGCATTCTACATTAGAGTTGCAAAGTACAGGCAATTCCATGGGTAGTGCAAAAGTCCATGGATAGAGGAGAGGGAGAGAAAAGTGAATAAATATAAACTCAAGCTTACAAGACAGTGAAGTTATTGGTAGAATATTTATACAGGTTTAATGTGAAGAAAATCTAGTTTTAATAGCTGGTTTGTTGTTGTGTACCATCGAGTTACCTCTGACTTACAGTGATGAGTTAGTGACCTCCAAAATGTGCCATGTTTAAGTGTCCTGCTTAGGTCTTTCAAACACAAGGCCATGGTTTCTTTCTCCATATTTGGGAAAGCTATACTGTAATAGCCTTTGTCTCCAGAGACCCACCGTTACAGCTGACAATATTTTCTAGTTCTGTCATACTTGCCCTTCTGAGTTTCATTCTTTTTCTGATATCTTGACTGCAACCTCAGTTTAGGTTGATGGTTGAACCAAGATATAGAAAATCTTGACATTCATGTTATATACTTCTTTAGTATTCTTGATTTTTATCTTCTTAATATTCCACTGCAATGCTGGTTTTGCACTTTTTTCTTTCACCTTTATCAATAGTGATTTCAAGTCGCTGCCACTATCTGCCAATACTATAGTATCATCTCTGTTTAGCCTACATTATTGTTCTTTGTTCAACTTTTCTTTCATCTGAATTTGATTCAACTCTTATGAAGACATGCTGAAATCTCATTACTTCAGCTCTTGTTCCAGGTCTTAATTGCTTTTATACCCTTTTACCTGTTGTTTAGATGTCATCACTGAGCTGATCCCTGAGTTCTCCACCAGAATTTTCCATAAGACCCACAGTGTTGCACATACCACTGTAGTTGTTTTTTGTAAATTTCCTATTGGAATGCAGTTGTGAATTATGATTAGATTAAAGCCATACCTCTCATTCCCCATGCCCCTCCCTTCCATCTCTGGATAACTAGTCAGGGTCTTTTCAAGGAATGGCCAGCATTCTGGGCCAGTGAACACCTGCCTGCCTTCCATCAGCCTTCTCAGTGTCTCCAAGATGGATCTGGTCCAGCTTCGAGCCATAACTCACACCTGGGAATTGTCAAGAACGTTAGAACTTCTTCAAAAATCTCTAGTGCCTCTTTGTTTTCTAAATCCAGCCTGAACATTTGTTGCACATAGGCAGGCAAAGGGATGCTTTGTTGCAAAACCTTGAGTATCACTTTGTTTCCATGGCAGATTAGTGCAGTGGTCCTACAGCAGTGGTTCCCAGTCTTGGGTGCCCAGATATTCTTGGACTGCAACTCCCATAAGCCTTCACCAACGTGGTGGTCAGGATTGCTGGTAGTTATAGTCCAAGAACATGGAAACCACTATACTACAGTTATTGGCATACACTGCTGCCACATTTCTTTGAGATTGGGACATATATTGAACATTTCCAGTCTGAGGGCCATAGGTTTGTTTTCCACATTTATCAGCATATTTTTGTTAGGATTTCAATTAATTCATTCTCTGTAGCTAGAAATAGCACTTTTGATTACTCTTGTAGTCGGAGTGATTATCTTGCTATAGCATTATCTAAAATGTTTATTTCATTAGGAAAGTTTATTAGGTTACAGAGAATCTCATCCTATTCATCATTGTTAAGAATTTTTACATTCTGTTTTACCTCTAGTTTCCTTGTATTTATTTCTAATCACATTGTAAAACTGCAAACACTGATTTGCTTGACAGTAATATCTGACTAAGCACTGTTTGTTTACAAAATAAGGAAAGTTACAATTTTGTCTTAATCAGATAAGTTACTGTATATGGTAAAGCTTAACTGATCAAGGCAATGATGATATTCCAAGAATATTTACT